TATTTTTATTTCCCTTTTATATGGAGAGTTGTAGATTTTGTCACTTCAAACGTGTGCTGTTCCTCCTCTTTTCTTCTGCTTTACAATACGCACTAGGAGATTTTTTTTTTTGCATATTCCTCCCCTTTCTCCGCCAGATATTGTAGTTGACCAAATTTAAAACACTACAGTATTTAGAATCCCTGCAGTGCCATTTTAAGTATTTGGACCTGGAAAATGCCCCAAGCAATAACTACCTGAATTGCTTTTAATTACACAATATAGCTGCATCATTTTACTTCAGATTCTTTTTGATTGATGCTGTAAGGCAATTGTAACCATGGATGATGGGATTAAGTGCCTCTTGAAGTGACTTTAGCTTCTTGTGGGAACAAAGGGAAAGAAGAGAACACTTAGTCCCTTTTGGAGTGAACAGCCTTTTTTCACTTGCTATATAAAGAAATACAATTAACAAACATTATCCCCAGAGGTGAATTGAAATGTACATGCAGACAATAACTGCTCTTGACTGCAATTAGACATATATGATCCGAGGTATTTTGGCCATTCATTAGTGCTAATTGTTTGAGAAACAAGCCCACAGAACAAATGATTAAAATGTTAGTGCCATAACTAGCATTATTAGCATGTGTGATAAAATGCATGCGCCACAGCTGTACCAATAAAACGCACAGCAAAGTCCCTTTGATTTGACGAATGCTTAGCTTAGCTGGGCTGTAAGCTGTGGCTATTTGCAAAGGGCCTGCTGATGTTTATAACAAACAACTTGTATCTTCCTTTCTTAATTAGGAGAATTACCATGCAAATTGTGGTGCTTTGTAATTTCATATCTTTTCCCTTTGTCTTTGGTGGATTATTTGGGTTTGTTTGCGAGCTGCTCCCTAGTAAATGGGACGTAGTAAAACCAGAAATAGAATATTTATTGCATTTACTTTGGTTTTATGCAGGCGTAGCAGGAGAAATAACTGCAGGAGGGTTTGCGACCCAAGCTGTGTTGCATTCAATGTGGGCTTTAGGTCACTGCTGTCGCCTCCCCATCACCGCGAGCCAGGACTGTGTTTGGGACGCGGTTACGTGCACGCGATCAGAAACACACACCCGCATTTTCAGATGTCCAGATACGCTCTTTGGAAGCAGTATCCCTAACTCTTTGCCGACAGTGGGCCAAATATTGTAGAGCTAGAGATCTGGCCTGTGAGGCAGTGCGTATTTTTTCACGGAGCAGCCACACTGTGATGTAGTATCTCTTCTAGAATAATATACATTAAATAGAGATGCAGGTTAAGGTGCTGAGCCTGAATGTAACTTGTGGGAGTACTTTGTGTACTGTGAATCGCTGGTGCTAATGAGGCTGCACAGGTGCATACAGTTAAGTATACGTGGGAGTATGAGCAACACTGGAATCTCAAAATGCAGCCTACAGCAGGGAGATTTGTATAAACTGCGATAATTTCACTGGTTGCAGTCACACTGTATTTTGATAGATGTTGCAATGTCTCTTAGTAACCAAAAAGGTCTTAGTGTCTCTTTGTTTTTTTCCTGTGTAAGGATGAGCTATTCACTCTTGGGTGGAACCGTTATCAAAGGAACAAAAGTAACATTATTTTGCCAACTGTTTTTATATACTTGAGAAAGATTTAAGTAGAATGTTATGTTTGCTGAAGAAATGTAGATTCATTTTCAAGACCCCAAGAGCACTCAACGTGCTCCTAGCTGCTATGAATGAAAATAAGCTGCTGTAAAACAATTTAATGAGCTTTACCCAGTAGTCTAGTCCTCATTTTAACTTACAGCACTTAAAGCAAAACACATTGTCTTACCAAATTCGCTTGGCTTATGTCCATTAATTTAGTTCCAAGCACATTCAAGCTTAGTTTGAATCATTAAAATAGTTGCAGTCAGGAAATATATGTACTATTTTCCGTGGCATGGGGTTACCAATGTAATTCAGATGGTGGTGCTGTTTTTTAGGGTTTTTTTTTTTGGTTTTTGCTTTTCTTCTAAAAAAAAAGTAACTGCTAGAAACGTTTTTATTCTATCAAATACAGAAGAAGTCAAGATAATCAGAATAGTGTTTGCTACTGAGAGTGACTAGTTGTTAATATCTCCAGTATCCTGGGCTTTGCCACTGTGTTTGAAAAAGAGTAGGTAAATGGGCTTCTAGATAGGTCTACTTTTTCCTCTACATTTTCTTTTTTTTTTTCTTTTGAGAACACAGTGAGAGTGGAAGAGGAATTTTTAAGAATGTGTGTCAAAATAACAGTCTATGAAAATAGACTGGTCATACCTATTTGGGAGTCATACCCAAGCATACTTGTTGGAAACTTATTTTCCACTTGTGTTTGTGGAGCTTGTTGTTTTAAAGTGGGGAGATGCCGTGCTGGTCAGCTGACATACACTCTGCACTTTGCTTTTTGCCACTCCCTTTGAAAAAAAAAAAAGATTACTTTTTAGATTTGCTGAACTGTTCCATGATAATATTTTGACAAATCGACATTATGCTCTTATAATCTGCATCCTGAAAAAAACATTTTTGGGCCTAGGGGGGCTACAAAGTTGCTTAGCTAAGGAAGAAATAGTGGTAGCCACTGACTGATAGCATTTATAATATTGAGCCCATCAGGTGATGGTATTTGCATGGATTACATCCATCACTTCCTTAGGAATAGCTGGTTTGCTGGGAAGTCATCCTGCTGCCCCGTTGAAAGGAAAGTTTAGGTGTCTTAAGGGGACAGCTGGCTCCTGATTTCTACATCTGGTCCAAAGTTAACAGCAGTTTCACCCACAAAATGTCTCTGGGCCATGGTGCTTGTTATTTGGAGAGTCAATGCCAGGTAACCGGAGTGGGGCTTGCAGGACTCAAAGGGAAAACAGCTGCTCAAACAGCCTTTGGTTTGAAACAGGCCGGGAGAAGTCTTGGGCAACGCGTCTGGCAGGAGATGTATCTTGGCTCTGTGTGCTCTGAGATTAGGGTTTCGGTCCTGTCTTCCAGGTTAGGGGCAGAGGCCGTCATTAAGGGTGCTTCAGGGGCCCCTGTCCTCAGTGCTGGAGTTAACTATTAATGGACCCGGATCTTTGAGTCCTTTGTGCTTTGGGGAATGACCGTGTTGAAGCCATCAGAGAAGGAGATTAGAAGCTAATCACTTTAGTCCCCTCATACATGTTTAGTGGAGGACTGCAGGCTTCCTCGCTGACCTCTGTGTCACACGGAAGAAAGACCCTCCTATTTCCATTTGAGCTACCCTTCTCTCCCACTCCTCCTCCTTGCTCCCCCAAAGGGTACTGCAAGAAAATGGGATTAGTTGGAATTAACGCCAGTTGCCACGAGTTGCGTTGCCATCCCCGCTCCCACGCAGGGCCAGGAGTGTGAGCTGGTTCGTGGGAGGGGGCGAGCAGTGCACTTGGTGGAGACTTGGTGGGTCTCAGCTGTGTGTTTCCCAGGTACCAAGGGTCGGGATCGCCACCACGTGTAACTCAGAGTTGCTGCACTGAGAGGTGAAGAGCATTTATCAATAAGAGTAGCACTGGCCCTTGCCTCACTGTTGTTTAACAGCAGAACTGCCCTGTTGAGGAGGCCACATTGGGCATCGCTAGTCATGTTACAAGCACGAACACGCAGCAGGCAGTTGTGGGTCCACCCGGGACACACAGACCTGGCAGAGGAGGTGGTGGAGCAGTTGCCATTTTCAGCTTAATTTCCTAGGACAGAATGTGGTAAAAGCTTTCCTTCTATTTTTAAAACCACATCTGTATTTTGCTTCCAGGATGCTAAATCTATAGGGAGGAAAATCCTGGGAAAGGGTTGATTTAGAAAGGCCGCTATCATAGCGGCCTGTCGGCGATGCATCGCGTTGTCCCTGATTTACATTGACTGAACTCATTTCCAAGCGTTTGAGAGGGTTCGTCGTGCTCGCTTTGAAGAAAACCCAGTTGGCACATGCAGCCATGTGTCATCCAAAATGTAGCGACCGGGGAAAGATTATTAAGAGGGGCATAGGAAAATGCATGGGTCCCTGACGTGATGTGATAATGACACATTGAGTGCGCTGCTAGAAAAGCTTTGCATTATTCAAAGTGCTGAATAATGGGCATGATAATGCGTGATGGTGTTGGCTGGTAGGATTATTTGTGCCGTAAGTGACTGGTGCCCTGCGTATGAAGGCAAATTGTGTTCTTTTAGCCTCATTTTTGGTATAGCAGAATAGGCCTGGGGGGGTTACGGTGTAAAGTGGTAGGACCAGGAGCAGGGAATGGTTTTTAGAAAGGCTGTGAACCATGGCGATACCCTCTGCGATTTTATTCCTCTGGATTTGTAATGACGGAGCAGGATTAACTCCTGGGTGCGCTCCAGGCTGTGCTCCTGGGCAGCTCAGCTGCCTCCGAGTGCACCGGTCCCGATGATGGAGAAACATGGATGCGGAGTGCCCAATGCACTCGGATACGATCACATGGTGCCCCAGAGCCCAGCCTATGCAGAGAAGTGGAGCACGAGCCATTTATTAACGCGAAAAGTCACCACGGCCGAGCACCTGCCAAAAACACTGCTGGATTTATGAGTGCTGTCGATAAAGGTCTGGGCTGTGGGTCTGAAGGCTTCTGAGAAGACACATTGGGATTAATGAGCTTCCGCATTAAGGGGTTTTGGTTCTTGCTTTTCTCGTGTTTTCCCCATGCCGCCAGCCAAACCCCTTTCTGCGAGGGGAGAAACCTCTCACATTCAGTGGCTGCCCAGCGTGGAGTTGGGGCTGTACCTCCAGCCCTGGTACTTTTGCAGTTCTGAGTGCGACTTCCATTGTACGTGGTGGTTTGGGTTTTTATATGCTGATTAACTGTCATACTCCTGCCTCCCCATCTAGGTGTTTCCCAAGGGGGAAAAACAAACAAACCCCCAAACCAGCAACTATCTAGGCAGGAATGTTTCCCTTGTAAAATATAGTCAGGTTTTCTTTCCAGCGTTGTAGACAAGAGCCTAATTTCAACGGTATCCTTTACAGGGTGAATTCTGCTCTGCCAGCTGGTGTTCCAAAGCTTAGTTATCACTTTGCATCATCTCACAAGTACGTTCCCAGGCGAGCTGTGCTGTATGTACCTGCAGATGATGAAAAGAAGATACGAAAAATCCCTTCCCTACATGTAGACTGTGCGGTGCTGGACTGCGAAGACGGTGTGGCTCTCAACAGAAAGGTAATTAAAAATTTATTTGTGGCATACCATCAGCACTAAACAGAACATGTGGAAAGACATTTCCTTTGCCTTGGGGAGGTGGCATCCAGAGAGACCCAAGACAAATTCTAAGATATACAAAGTAATGTAACATTAATTAGCTTTGTGGAGGTGTTGGGAAACCTGGTTGCCCGGAATTGAAAGAGATCTTGTGTGAATATGTGGAAGTGACTTACCGAAGGAATACAGAGCTGGGCATAAGCACTTACTGAGGAAGAGTGGGATTTATTGTCGTTGTTATTACTGCTCCCTATTTATTACAGAAGAGGAGGAAATAGACTCTGGGAAGAAAAGCCAAAATGAAAGAGTTTAGAATCACCAGATGGGAATTTTGTTGTTGAAACAAAAGCAAGTGCAGGTTGTGAGCAACTGTGTGTGGTTTTGAGTCCTTGGGTGTTTGGAAAGATTTACCTTATTGAGCGGTATGGTTATACTCATTTTATGTAATGCTGCTAGGGATGTCTGTGGAGGAAGAGGCTAGACCTTTGGTACACTAGGGTTTGGAGGGCATCTTGGATTGAATGAGCTGCAAGAAAGAAGGCAGAGAGAGCAGTGTGGGAAATAAATGTGGATGTGTTAAGTATCAGTGCTGGTTTTGCTGATGTTTAATTTTTAAGGAAGACAGAATCACCTAACATACATTCATAGATAGGCTTGCAAGCAAATGTTGTAAGAATCTCAAAATAACCATCCCCCTTTAAGGTGCTTCACATCTTAAACAATGTATATCAGAAACTTGTCTGAATATTTCTTAATAAAAAGTACTTCCAAGCTAGGAGAGAAATATGCTATTACACCATCACCATTTTTTAAGCTTTCTCGTCTATTTTAGAGTTTGAATACAAATGTGCTATCCTGGAAATTGTGAAAACAATCTTGAAAGTTTTCTCATGTGGTCTCAAAAAATTCAATGGAATTTTATTCTTTTTTTGTGTCTTGGGAACTAGTGCTTTTCAAAGTGACTGTATTTAACGGTCCTATCTTTAACCTTCAACTCCTTACAGGTCTTTCAGAAATACAAAGTTTATATGCTTTCTGTGTTAAGAGTTTAGTTCTAGAAAGTGAAAATAACATTGCTAAATGTTCCTAGTGAACATTCAGGGGGGAAAAATCAGTGCTGAAATTCTATGTACAAGACTAAAATTATCACTGCTGTCACAGTGACTTAGTATTGTTTAGTTCATATTTAGGAGGCTGTTGCCATAGGATGACACAAGACACAGTTGTGTGTTAGACTCTACTATTTTTAAGTGCAGATTAATTATATGAAACAAATCATTTATAGCAGAAGTATCTATCCGTAATAGTGAATGATAGAAAAACAAAACTTTATGGTCAAGGTGACAAAATTGATAGTAGTCATTTCTAAATAGTGTTTATAGCTAAGCTCCATGGAACCGAAGGGGAGTTACGCCACTGGGTGTAAGATTTCAAAGAAATTAGGAGAAATTTCTGTAATAGAAGCCTGAGATGGCAGATGAGCCCCTGACTGAGCTTACATGCCAGAAGGAAGCAGACAGGAGAGAGAAGTGGGGACAGGCTTCCAACAGGGAACACCTAAGTGTTGTCTGGGCATGTAGGGACACAGTTAGGAAGGTCAAAATTTGGCTGGAATCAAAGCTGGTGAGGGCTGAGGAGGACATCAAGAAAGGCTACTATGAGCACAGCAGCAGCAAAAGACCGAGGAAAATGTGGCTCCTTTGCTCCATGAGCTGAATGACCTTGTGCTGCAAGCTGTGGCTGAGGCTGAAGAGCTCGGTACTTGCTCAGGCATCTGCTCTCTGGCCTCCTACAGTTGCCTTCCTGTGGCCAGAGGCAAAACTTGGAGAGGAAAGTTGTCCTCGGAGCAGGAGCTGATGGAGTTGGGAGCTGGCTAGTGTCACCGAGAGGCTGCTGGTGTAGAGCTCAGCCTCTCTGCTTTGAGAGGGTCTCCCAAAGACCCTTCGAACCTGAGGTAGTCTCTGTGCTTCCATATTTGCGTAGCAAAGTTTAAATTAAAGTGATTGAAAGGTTGAATTTCATGTTTAGATCTGCCACAGATACTCAGTAAGACGTGGAGATTTAGATTCTCAGAATGTGAAGCTGAAATTCTAGTTATTCTTAAGGTTGCATTTGTTAATGTTAAGTTAGAAACTTGGTGTGAAAGACACGACAGGAGCATGCACTAAAATAGAGTATTCAGTGGCTCTTTGGATGGATCATCTGAAGCTGAGAAAAAAAAATCACAGAAACATAGCACGCTCAGGTTGTTCTTTAATTAATTATTCTTAAACGAAGTACTACCAGTGAATTTGACTTTCACTGACGTATTTTACATTAATAACAGTGATAGTTATGAACTTTCCTGAAGCTGCTGCAGAAATGCTGGGGTTTTTTTTTGGAAGTCAGAAACTGGTAGGCACAGTGCTGTGGGCCAAACTTGCCTGGATACAGGAGGTCTTCGATTGCATGAAGTCCAAACAACAACTTTGAGCAATATCTTATCAAGTTTATTTTACAAGTCTGGTATGTATTATGACTAAATTAGATTTTAAGAAGTGGAGAATCTGGAATGTCAACAGTTCCATTTGTGTGCCCGTTTAGAGGGAAAAGAAAATTGTGAACTTGCCGCTTGAGAATGATAACATCTGGCTGAAGTAACTGCATTAGAAGCTGTGGTCATAAATTAAAACTCTTTAATTTTATAAATTAGTTATTTTCTAAATCTTTATTTTATAGGTTTTTTTTTTCAGAGAAAATTAGGAAGAAGTTTCCTTCCCCAAGTATGTTCTGTTACAGCTCTTAGAGAACACCCAACAAGAGAACCCATTTTTGCTTAGCGTAGTCTGCCTGCACATTATGGTGTCTTCATTTCTTACCCTCATGAGCTACCACACGAGCCGTAATTTCAGATGCTGTCTGTTGATCTGCCACCTTTTCGATCTTTTTCTAGTGGTTACTTTGACCAGGTAAGGGGAAACAACCTTGAAGCAAGAAGCTAATAAACAGGCACTTGTAGAGCTGTTAAGTATACGGAGAAGGCCAAAACATTCTTTAATTTTGATTGTTAGAAAAAAGAAAAAAAATGTTGGCTGCATCAGGCACAGAAAGTTGAACCTTGCACACGCAGTCGCTGAGAGCCACCTGTGAGGCAGGTGAGTTGGCAGAGCACCCACAGCCAAGCCAGCCCTCCCTGCTAAAACTGCTCCAACCCAACAAACTAGAAACGAGTGGAAAAGTTTCCACCTCCTGTTGGGGAAAGGAAGACTTCTATGTCAGTGCTTTCCAAGAGCAAAATGGGGCAAGATTCCACTGTTACTCCCTGCAGAGTTCATATTACTGCCCTTACTAGTGTGTTTTCTAGGAGAGAGTTTTTTCAGGAGGATCCTTTTCTGAGTCCCCTATTCTTCAGGGCATCCGTGACATGCTAAGCTGTCAGGTTAGCCTAGCAGGAGACCCACTGGAGCTGCTACTGTGTGGAGCCTTACCCTGTAGTTCTGTTAAGCTGTCCCAGCCTGTGTCAAAATTATTTTATAAAAAGAAATCTTCATTCCATCGTTAGCTTCTGTAAAATAAATAAAATAATGTTAAAAACATGTTTGAAAAGGAAAAATCATTACAAAATGAGAATTGAAATGGTCCAGTCAGAAAATGTTGAGCTGGAAAGTTTCCATAATACCAAACTTTCTTTTTCTTTGACAGCATTTACAACTAGTATTTACAAATGCTTCTCTTTTCCACAGAACAACCTTTCTGGGTTGAAAGGGGGAAAAAAAATGTAATGAAAACTTCTGGGCCATATGTATCTATATATATATATATTTAAAGGAAATTTTGCACCAGTCTCTGGTAAAAAATAAATGTGCACTTTATTGAGGAATTGTCTTTCTTTATGAGAATTTCTCTTTCTTTCTGTACTTCTGTTGAAAGTTACAGAATCAGCTTAAACATCTGTCTTGATCTCAAGCTCTCTGCAAATATATTTCTGACACATGTGTGAAATGTGTATTGAGCTGAAAGCCCCGTATGCCTCATCAGGGTGAGCTTTGCAGGAAGGTGACACTAATGCAAGGCTCGGGGACCTCAAGAGCCATGATGTTCCTTCTGGTTCATGGCTGCAGACTTTGTGGAGCAATGTCGTGATCTGCAGCACATGAGTTTCATATTAGGGAGTTAAATCCCACCCAGCCATATACAAGAATTTATTTCTCACGCTCTCTCATAAAAATTTGTCATGTAGAAGTTATGCTGGTGCTTTTTTATGTAAATATGTAAAAACAATCCCTTCGAGTATATATATGGTTAGAAAAGGTCTGTAGGGTCCTCTGACATGAAAATAGGAAGTTTTATTGTTGTCCCTCTACAACTAAAAAGATTTCATTCCTCCAATAAAATTTATTGATATTCAGGGTTGTACCACAGAAGGACGTAGGGCTGATTACGAGTTGAGCTGCTAACCCTTTTTGCTGTGATTGCACCACTTCGTCTCTTCCAGAACACAGTTACTCTCTTCTTCAGTATTTGAACAGCAGAAGGTAGGGAAAAAAACATCCTCGGCCATGTGCTTCCCTCTTATCCCATCCGTTAGAGGGGAGAGAGGATGCTGGAACCTCAGAAATAAGAGGAAGCTCCACTTGGCTAAGAAGATGGAGAGGGAAGGGCCTATTCTGCTTATGTGCAGCATGGCCTCTTAGGGTCATAGCATAAATTGTTTCCTACTTAATATCTCGTAGCAGCCACTTAGAAAATCATTGCCGCGCTGTGGAAAGAAACAAGAAAATCAAGTAATTCCTTTGAATCCTCTGTTTTTAAAAAACAGGATTAAAGCCCGACCGCTTTTCAAACCATTCCACGATGGATAAGGCCCACGTAAGAGCTGGCTCTGGGTTCCCTGCAGCTGAGAGCAGATCATCCGCGTAGCCGCAGGTGGGGTGGAGGTGTCTCCCCGTGGGAAGCCGTCGGCATCGCTCCCGTGATCCCGGCCGGGCATCACCGCGAGGAGAGCGGTCGCCTTGCCTGCCATTTCCCCGCTAAGCGGAGGCCTTCTGCCCTCAGTCCTCATCGCTGATGAGAAGAGACTACTGCATGTGCAATAACACTTTGGCTAAAGTTGAGGGTGGAGATAAATACATAAAATTGGTTAGGGTGGCATACAAAAAAAATTCCAGACTTGCCTGCTTGAAATGCCTTTCCTTATTGATCTTATTGAAGACTTTTGCAGTATCAGTAGGAAAAAAAAAAAAAGCTGCGGTTGGTTTCCATAACTCTCTGGCTACTTCAATTAAAATCAACAGTTTTCCTGTATTATGTGATGATAATCTTTTGTTTTGTTTTAATAAAGCCAACTTGTTTAGGATTTATCAGTGCCGCCGCTTTTTTCTCCAGGCTCATAGTGAGAATGTTACCTTCATAGGCACAGCTGTATGAAACATTGATAACTAGGTTATTTTACCAGGCCTTTCCTTTATTTATAATAAATTAGTACTGTACCTAATTGTATTCCTCCTACGGGGAGAAGGCTTGCTGGTAAAGTGTGTAGAGAATGATTAAATGTACACAGGCACATAGTGGGGTGACTTCTCTTCAAAAGATGCACAAAATTAAAATGGGAATGCTGCTTTCCCTGGCGGCTTGCCATTATTAGAAGTCTCAGTAGCTTGGGAAATTTCTTCTGTAGGAATTGGGGAGTCCAGAAGTCTCTCTGGTTTATTGCAGGGAAGCTGAAGTATACAGTGAAACTCTGCAAGGCCTTTTTGATCCTTGAAGAGTTCTGATGAATATACATTTTTATGAAAGTTGTAAAGTGTTTTCATTTCCTTATTAATCCCACCATGGTCCTGGAAGAACTGCCACTGCTGGGCGGTAGCTGCGACAATGAAACTTTTTGTTCCTGTTGTTTTACACTACAAGCCAATCATCTTCCTTACATAAATATTTGAGGAATAGTAAGCACAGTCCCAATATTCAGCAATTTTCTTCTTAATGAGCTCAGTAAGGCCTGTGTCTCTTTGAGCTGAGCCTTTGAATTGCTTGTTCTTTCTTTTTCACTGATTCAGATGTATCCAATTAAGTTTGACTCGGGCATGTCCAGATGTAACTGTTTCTACCAGCGGAATGGAGCCTAGAAACTGAGGGAAGATGTCTTGGCTCAGGAGTAACAGAAATTTCAGGCAGTGGTATATTAACAGACTTGGGGCAATACTGTAAAATATTACAGCTGATGATTGTACAGCATGGTTAGAATTCACGGTACTCCAAGTCTCTGTATGTAGCCCACTGCACTCGGGCACATCAGCACACCTGCGCAACTAACTGCTGGACCAGAGTTTCCAGATGGTAAATATCTTGCTGGAGTCAAGATACCTACTGTATCCTTGGTTTCATCTATCACTCCTATGGGACTCTACGGTCCCGAGACACAGATCCTAGCATTCAGTGGTGGGAAATAAACACTGGTTCCTCTGCAGAAGTCTCATTTCCTTCCACTGTGCATGTCCTGCTAACAGGAATCAATGATATTTACCATGGTACATCTTCAAAAGCCAGTTCT